ACCCACAGAATGATCTGGGACGGAGTAATACTCCTAAAACTAATACAAGTTGTCGGAGAAGGAGGTTGATCATCAAATCATTTTTCATCTGCTCGATGCCTACCATGAGCAATTCGTTTGGTTCAGTGTGGGTCCTATGTATAAGGAAAATTTTGCCACCCTGACGATCACAGAAGACGAAACAGCAAAACAATGAGAGCTAGTTGGAGGTTATACGATCACACTGATATCACTCAATGTCTACTCTAATACATTGTACTGCATTGCACCTCAGGAATGAACTGTAAGATTTCGTAAGGTTAGAAATTTTCCTGTTCTTTATAATCCTATTGTTTGTAACGAAATTGGCTCAGAGAAAAACCTGACTGCTTCTGTGAAACAACATATGATCATGCAACAGATTGACACAGGTTTACGTTTCTGAAATCAAATAAAGCTAAGCAAAGAGATCGACACTAGAATCACTGTTCACTGAGTTGACATACAATACGTGCAATCGTGATGATGAAACATCGACTACGGATGCAGGAAGAATTCTGTTACAATTTAAACCAGACAGTGGCAAGTGTCTCAAGTAAGAGCAGAGTTGAAGAAGTGATTCCAGCACCTTGATTTGATTGTGAAAAATAAACTGTGATCAAAAGTCATTCACTTACTAATACTTCACCACATTTTGCCATGTTAAGCAAGCACAGAAAATATGCAATGTCATTTGATGATAACCAAATTGATCACTCATTATCATACTGCATTATCGTTTTGGCATAACATTTCAAAGAGGTATGGCGAACTGGATCATCGGAGTAATCAATATATTTTGCTGACAAGAAAAAGAATTCACATAGAACGGAATCTGGATGTTAACTTTTATAACACAGTATTTCACTCCCATTTAGCAATTTATGACATTCAGAGTGTTTAATTCGAGCTGGTTGTGAGGAAGTCAATTGATTATTTGCAAAATTAGATGGGGTTACTTTGTTGGGAATCCACAACAATCTGCTATTTCCAACTGGAAGCAGGCTCGAATATCGCAAATCCACAGTCGCTGGTAAAACAAAGACCTCAGTGAAGCGATTAGTTTTATGCTTAATCACTTCCAAAACTGGAGATTTTCATTTCAGTGCAAGTGGTGTGTAGAATCAATTTCAAACTCTTGTTGAGTCACGTTTAGTTCGACTGGTGGTGTGATACTAAATCAGTACAATAACTGAAACACCTACCACATTGATAGATCACTGTATGATTTATTTATTGGTCTCAGGACTATGAATACTGATTGCTTGAGTAATATGAAGAATGCCTGAGAATCAATGGATTTGCAGGATACAGGTCTAATTCATTGTTGTGATGTATAAGAAGTATGTATATATACATTGTTCGCCTGAACGATGCCAATTGGACTTTCCTGCTTTGGATTTCAGGGTGAAATATTGGCTGGAAGAATACAAATAAACTATGCAGTATCTAACGTCACTCTTGCCTTCTTTAAAGATTCAGGGTAAGATTACTTCATTATCACTATTACACTTTTAAATCTAAATCCAACATTGTAAATATCCAAAGCATTGTTGGCACAAATCTCCTGGATCAAATTAAACATGAAATCCATATTAATCATTATGAACATAAATTTCAGTAGAATCCCAGCATGTTTGCAAGATTAAAGTAGAAATTGACGGGCATTTAGTTGTGTCCACCACAGCTTCTTCAGCAGAATATTTCACAGCTGAAAGTGACCATTATTAAAGAGCATATCAGCACTGGGTGGATGACATCCATCATTGTTTTCACTTCAGTAAGTGAGGAATAAAAGGTTTGATTTCTGTTCATAGGGAAACAAAACGCTGTGCATAATCAACTATTGACTATTGTGAAATAGTATGTAGTCTTTAAGAATATTGACTCAAGATTGAGGAGACTTAGTTTATTAAAGCCACTGAGGGTATTTGCATCTTGTCTTTAAGGAAGTCTAATCACAGAGCTAGTTTTCATAACTTGTCATATGAAGGTTAAGGAATTTAGGAGTGGTCAGATGGGTATGCAAAAGTACGGGAAATAACGATAAAATTAGTGAATAGGGAATGACACTGCAGTAATTGTGACATCAGTTTTATGAACAGTCTCAGCTACCCTTTCTGCAATTGAAGAGACCTGTCACAGATGTTGTCAGTGACAAGTAGTTCAAATTGTTTTCGAAGCTAGTACAAAGCATTTCGTGCCCGTTCTCATCGTGATGTCATCGATAAGAAACTGTCCGATGACCTTCTGATTTATGCGAGTAATTCAAATATGGTAATCATTTTAGGATGGCATTTCAGTTCTCAGATGCTGCCGAGATGTGAATATTTGTCACCTAATAATGATAAATATTAAACATTTGGAGGTAAGTTGAAATTTCATCTTGAGTTAGTGTTCATCACAAAATGACATGAGATGCGGGACCATCAGAGACGTGAGAACACTGAACAGCTGTTCCGTCCCAGTATCCGACTCCTCAGCCGTACGCACCCACGACCCGGATAGGGATTGGACTCGGGAATTTCAGGTTTCATGGTGGATGTATTAAACATTCAGCCGCTTGTTAGGAATCCAGTGGTTCACGGCTTTCTCTTTTTTCAATTCGTGATGTAGTGAGACCGTCATCCAAGGCCTTCAGTTAGCATTCGCTTCAATTCCAACTGGTTGACCCCGAGGGTTAATGCCAGTCATTAGAACTTCGACATATCCATCTAGGAGCATGCCAGTAATGAGTAATATACAACAATGAATTTTGTGCTTATTGTTCAGTGCTTCTAGGTTTTCAACGGTTCTCCAACTGCCGTCAATCTGTGATGAATACTACCTTAAAGATAAATCCTGTATTGATCTTTTAGTGATGTCGTGACCTTTTCAAAAGATGACACTTGACGCTCCTGTGTCCGAAGTGGTCGGTCCCGGAATTCAAATACTAATAGGAATGTCACTCACTGTTAGGCAGGTGCGTCCAACTGACGGGTTTTGAATGGGAAGAGACGCTTGTCGTCGATTCCACTGTTAACCACTAGCCATTGTTACTATCAGAACGAAGTTGTGAGCAAATTCGTGGGATCCTCGCGTCAGTCCGTATACCAAATGTGGCCAGTCAACTCGGCTCGATCAATGAACGAGAAATTATAAGCAGTGATATAATTCTGCTCATTAAGTTTCTAGCTTCAACATGAGACTTGTAGACTGAATGTTTAAACTAACATTGCTGGATATTGGCTTGTATGAAGCAATCGAGTAAATACGATTACTTCTGACAATAAACAACAAGACGTTTCAATGACCTGAGAAGGTCTACTCTTCAGTCGTATATCTCTCGTTTGAGATTGCATTGTGATAATTACTTGACTCAAAAAGATATTTGGTGCGATAATGACATTCTACACAAGAGCATCCATTAAAATTTCGCTAAATGATACAATGAGTGCAACTCACCCGAAGTACAAACAACGACCACTCTTGAGTTTAGGTACTCAACCTAGTTACCTCTAATCGTTCAGCGCATGCTGCTTTGAACTTGCCACTTTTCTACTCCAAATGATACAAACGAAACCCACTGACTCTGAAAATATCCCTCCATTGGCAAATTTATACAAATGTATAGAGGTGATTATGAGTGTGAAGGTACATGTGAAAGCTGAGAACTGCATATGATTCATAGAAAGGTCTCCGTTGAACTCCTTTCTGACATACTTTACAATAAACAACAGTAAATCCAAAACATGCCACACGATGGCAAACTGGCAAGAATATAAGGCTCAAAGAAGAACTTAATTCAATTTCATCACTACCACAAAGTAATGATCAAACCGATTGTTTTGTCAAGCTCAGTAGAAGTGGCCAGGAAAACGAAAGCCTATTGTTTTATTAATCCGTAATGGACCGTATCATAATAAAATATGATTTGATGTCCCTTTGTGTTGTCTTTAAAGATGGAAACACTTTTTAGGCAGTTCAACTCATGATTAAAAAATACTACAGTGATTGTTGAAAATATTGTCTTCGTATTGAAACTGAATTTATTACTTTTAATGTATGCTTCGTTAGTTGGTATAAAGTTAACTATCGCAAGGCCATGGAGTGGCCATATGGCAAAAATCTGGGATGCAACTTTGCAACGAAAAGTTGTTATGAATTCGCTGAAATTCAAAGAGGAAAGTGAGTGATTTAATGTTTTGATTAGTTTGTTAACCGTGTTTTGGGAACAGGTGAACGAATAAACTCTTTCCTGCGAAAAATGAGTAGATATAATAAAGCGGAATTTCGAAAGAAGTTCGTTTGTTCATGCTTTTAAATTCACAAATATACATAGATTTGATGAATTGACTGAATTCACATTCATTGTAGGAAATGTTTTATCGAAACTTAAAGATAAAGAAATTGATTCTTGGTTAGAGTATTGGTTGGATCTACAAAATTATCTATCCCCTTGAAGTCTCATATATTTTACCATATCTTGAAATACATGGCAAAGAAAGTGACTTATGTTTGCAAAACCCTGATAAGCAAATGTATGTGGTTAGCACTTCTGGAAACGAAAGGTGTTCACATATGAAATTTAATCTTTAGTATAAAAATCAATGACATCATTCTCAATCTATTGCTTACAAGTAAGAGTTATCATGAAGTCGAAAAGTGCACTTTCATCTTATCTAGCCAGTATTGGAAAGTGGATACAATTCGCATGTTTCCTCTGAAAATGACGCCCTGTGAAGTCCTAATATTTGGACTGTCTCTCAACTGGTGATTATAACTGTATCATTTTTCAAGAAAGGAAGTTGCATTTCTCGACTAAATTTCTTATTTCAAATTGTGACGCTTTAATTGCTTGCAGAATTGTGGATTAGGAATTATACAGATGTTTTCATTACAATAGTTTAACTGTACAAAGACAATAAAATGATTCTCGAATCGAAGCACTATATTTTATCAAATGTTAGTGAAACTAAATTGTATTTGTTTTACTCCTCAAGGAACCAAACAATCGCTCCATTCTGTGATAATTCTAAAATAACATGCATGGGTCCATACGCTTATGGGGTCTGCCTGATTTATATATACGATCAGCCTCTTCCAGAAGAGGATCGCTTCTTTGCAACCGATCCATACGGTGCTGGTCGAGAAGGTAAATATTTTGGAGGTGAAGATCCGTTCCAAGACTACTGTCCAACACAAGTAGTAAGTTTGCCACTGTATTTTCACCTGTTTGTTGTATTCATTTTTAAACGGATGAAACATTACTTGGACTGAAGTAATTTCAGTATTCCAAACAATCCTCAACGCAAGAATCTAAATAATATCGTCCACTGGATTTGGTAACCCATTTTTCGCCTGCATGTTGTAATAAATCACCACTTGAGTAGTGTGTGTCATCGATCCTGAACTCATGTCATACCGAGAACAATACCACCCACTGGGAAGCAGATACATCCAGTTTAACAAAGATACATTCTGGATTCCACTGCTAGCCGCTGTGAATCAGTGATGTCAAATTACGTTAATGTACGATATTTGAGCTTTGAGGTGCCGTCGCATTTTCGAAATGAAGTCGTCATAATGAAAGCGTTAAAAATTCCTTTTAGTATTACTGTCTAATATCCTATGATTTCGCTTCAGTTGACAAAATCCTAAGAGAATGGTAAACAGTTTCAGAGACATGAAGCTGGGATGATGTTGCAAAGTTCGAATTCTAAATTTCAGTTTCATTCGCATGAAAGTAAAATGCCACTTCCGAAATAGGTGACAGAAACAACATCTAAACAGGAGAATGTGGTCGAATTTTTAATAACTTGTTTTGTATTTCTGCTAACTGCATTCTTAGACTAGATTTATGGTTTACATACAGTTGATGTTAAGAGATATTGATGAGAGTGAGCTCAAATTGTCAGAAGCAAAACCTCACCACGAGAAGCACAAGCTGAGCAAAATCGAATGTATCACACAGAAAGTGAGCTATCATGCACTTCCAATTTATCAAGATGAAATGTTCAAGCTCCAGATTACATTTCAGGTTGGTATTCATCATGGACTGAAATGAGTTGGAGAAACATTGGAAACCTGAGACCACTGGGTAGATATTTCGTCGTGATATGGGACTCCAGGGCAGCACACACCCGTGACCCCGTCCCACAAGCGATCAAACCCAGTGCTTTTGGGATCCGTGGCCAGCACGTTGCTACCGAGCCACTGGTTCAGAACCCAATAGTCCATATTTCCTACTTCTATCATTTTTTCACTCTAAAATAGGAGGTGGGAAACTTTTTCATGATTTCTCAGCGTTTTAGGCACTGGTGTATACTACTTGTAAGTCAAGAGAAGAAAATATCAGCATATTTCACCTAGTGTAATAATTTGTTGAATTATTTCTGACTGACTGACTGACTGAGCTTTCGGCATCACTACAAAGGTGTTGATAGTTATATTACTTGACTCGCGTTAATACAATGCACACAGCAAACCGACTTTGAAAGGTATTTCCATTCAACAAACATCTGATGATATTCTCTGCAGTGATTTGACATTTTAGGCTGATGAAGATACTAGTTTAAGCACAGAATACACTTTTGCGTTTAATTTTATTCAAACATGAACAAATACGTAAACGATTTCTTTCTCTAGTTCGTAACCAGTTTGGGACCTGAATACCCTGTGAATTCTTTCTGTACTCATACGGAGAACATTGAGAAATCGAGTAAGTAATGCATTGTCTTATTGTATTACGCCCTCATTTCACTGAATGGAAATCAAGATGAGAGGTTGTTCATAACAATGTTGCAATATTTAGATGAATTTGAGCTGTCGGGGGTGAATTATAAGCAATAATATATTTTTTACGAAAAGATTGATGTTAAAAGTGTGCAAACTGAATGAAAACAATTAAAGAAACTGTTGACAATTTCTGAAATATTACTCCTTTACTCCACGTATCTTTCAGTGATATTTTTTTTTTTTTTTGTTTGTAATTATTAATTAGTTGTCTTTTTAAGTCGGGAATGACATGTTGATATGGAACTAACAGAGACGTTTAGTGAAGTGGTGTATGATAAATGTATCCGTTTCCCTGTTTCGTAGAGCGAAATGAAGTGCTCTACTCCATGTCTTGCTGATCAAGCCCTCTGAAATGAATCAGTCAAAAAGTTCGTGACCATGTAGATGGAAACTCATCTAACTTATCCATTTGCAAGTACTTCAATACCACATTTGGAATCAGTTATATAATTCTTCAAGGTTACTAATAGTCCTAATAGCTTCTCAAACCAAACCACGCTCTAAAATTTTGATTGGTGCAGATAGTGACAGCAAGGTAGCATGTGTCAGGTGAACAAATCTTCGAAAGGAAGATAATGAATATATGAAGCAGTCAAGGAAGACCTGAGACCGTTTTGAGATAAGAATGACATAAATGTACAAGGATGTCAAAATAATAAGTGAAATACAATATTAACAGAGAGTAACAAAGCTGTGAACAAATGTTAGGTAGGAAACTGAAATGAGCTACTTGTACTAGTAAGTAGTATAAATCTGGAGACATAAAAACCAAAGACGAAGTAGATGAAGAATTAACATGACATTTTTAAAAATAGGTAAATAATTAAGGAATGCTTATTAACGTTAGTCCTGACTACTGTGAATGTTCACAAGGTTGAACTTTTTGCTACTTAGCTAACAGTGCTTCCAGCTTTCATAATCTACCACGCATGCTTTATCACGAAATTTGTTGGTAGAAACAGCATTAAATACCTAGAGATTTTAGGTATGTTCATTTACTACACGAATGTCAACGCCTTGTTTCCTAGAACCCAAATTTTGTCTTGATGGTTAATAACGACATCACCTACACATTCCTGTATCATTTGAGCATATCTCAATCCTTTCTTGCATTATTAGTGATGATATCAAACAGCCTAGCGATGAAACATGCACCACAAAATATAGAGGGTCAGGTACACTATACCGTGATCACCTAAATCTAGAGCTACAAAATTTGAAAATCACTATAAATTTATCTTGTTACTGAAAACCTATGATCTTGAGTTTATAAGAAGTCTGATACTAACGGACAGTGGAATGTGGTATTCTGTTATTATACTTGTGTTCCGTTGTGAACTCACTATTTCCACATGCACTATTCAAATGAATCGGTTACTTACTGTGAAAAGTGTATTTAGAGGATGCATTA